TGGTTTTGTCGCCTTGTTTCTGCTACTTTGGGGTTGGTTGCTTATTGATGTGGGCAGCTGATGACGCTGCGAGAAGGCGGGAGCACACGGCAGGTGGCAGTCAAGCTGCTGCTGGAGGCGCAACATCACAAGGAGTATGTGGCCGAGGTGACCATGCTGAGCAAGATGCACCACCCAAATCTGATGGGTTTGGTGCACACGACCGTGACGGCGGAGGGCCACCCGGGGATGGTACTGGAGTACATGCCGCAGGGGAGTCTGGAGGGATGGTTGCAGGCACGAGGCACCCGAGTCAGCCACGAGGACCTGCTGTTGATTGCGCACCAGGTCAGGGCACTGTGACGGATGGTGCTGCTGTGGTTCGGAAGCCGATGGAGGGTGCTGATGCTGATGCTGATGTTGGTGTTGGTGTTGGTGGTGCTGTAGGTGGCCATGGGAATGAATGAGCTGGCACGACTGGGCATTGTGCATCGCGATCTGGTATGTGCCCTGGCATCTTGTGTATCTATCGTGTGGTGGTGGATGGATTGTGCGCGTCGTTGTTCTTCGACTTCTCTTCACCTCTCTCCCTGTCTCGCTTTCTCTCTTTCCCTCTTTCCCTCTTTCCCTCTTTCTCTCCCTCTCGTTGTCCTGGGCTGGGCCTCAATGCCACTGTGGCGGCGGTGCCTCGCTCCTTGCTACGTCTGGTTGAGCGTAGGCGGCACGGAACGTGTTGATTGGGCGGTGCCTGAATGTCAAAGTGGCAGACTTTGGCCTCTCCCGGGTGATGCAGCTGGGTCGGGACGACTCGGATGCCTACTACCGGATCAAGACGCGACAGCCCATGCCCTTGCGCTGGATGGTAAGTGGCAGTGGGCCATGCCCTCGTGCGCGCGTGGATCTATGGTGAAGGGTTGTGAGGGATGTGGCGGTAGCGATGGTTGGTTGGTTACGGCCCTCTTTTCTTTCTTCTTTCTTCTTTCTTCTTTCTTCTGTCTTCTTTCTTCTTCCTCATCCTCCTCCCTGGGGAATGATTTTGTTAGGCCCCCGAGAGCATCTTGTCGCGAAAGTGCGATGTACGGAGTGATGTGTGGAGCTATGGATGTCTGTGTGTTGAGATGTGGAGCGGCGGCGAGGTGAGTTTGACGCCGGCGGAGGATGGTGGATGAGGCGGGGAGGATGTTGGGTAGAGCAGATGCTGTGTGGCAGCTGGGTTGGTGTTGTTGGAGAAAGAGGAGGGAGAGGCGTTGTTGTGTATGCGAGCGGGGTGTGCATTGGGCCCGGGACCTGTGCGGATGTGACATGACAGGATGTTTATTTGTTTGCTTGCTCGTTTGCTTGCTTGTTTGCTTGCTGTGCTTTTTTTTGTTTTGCTACCTTTGTGGCGAATAGCTGCCGTATGCACGACTGAAGGATGCCGAGGTGCTGGAGCGGCTGGTGGCGGCATCGCAAGGACACCTGAAGGATGGCGCCGTGGTGTTGGCATCACCATCACGGTGTCCGGCGGGCATTTCCGACCTGATCCAATCGTGTTTGTGTATCAACCCGGAGCTCCGGCTGGGCTTTACCTTGCTTGTTCAGCGCACCCGTCCCGAGGTGAGTTTTGTATGGTGCTTCTTGATGGCTGGTCATTCATCCTTCTGACGCTCACATCTTCATGGAACAACTTGCAACCAGGGCTGGCATCGTCTGATATCCGGTGCCTTTCAAGCCAATGCCATCTTTGCGCTGGTTCAAGACGATGCGGTTCTGCTAGAGTCCAGTCTATGATCCACTACGACCTCTGAATACTTTTCGAACTTTGATTTACTTGTTGACAAAGTCATTATATCTTCGCTTTTTTCGCTTTATTCCTTACCTCCGAATTGAAAACCCTTCTACTGCGCTTTTCCATGGACTGTGGCGTTGCCAGCCGTGGCACTGCCAACGACATTCACTCCTCTGTGTACCACTGCCTTTTCCGTTACAAAGCAGTTCACACACACTCTCTCTCTCTCTCTCTTGACTCCTACGGAAATTACGGAAATGATAATTTCATTGATTTTATGAGAGATGAAGTCATGTCATTTCTGATTGCAAACATATTATGTTTTGTGCATTTGACCGTTACGATGGCTCTCTCGGGATTGGAGGCCACCGAATCTGTCTCGGACGTGAGTCGGGTGTCTTTGATACCGTGTCTGTGCGAGTGCTCAACCGACCCCGCTATGTGAGATTTGTACAAGATAACGAAAGATCGCTTCCCCCTGCGGTTCCTCATATGCCCTTGGTGCATAGGATTTCTTCGTCTTGTTCCCTTCTCCGGACGAGGTGTGTGCGGACACCCCTTCCGCTCCGAACGCCACGGTCCCAGGACTCAACGATGGCCAGTCAAAGAAGACTAGGCGGCGGGCCAAGTCTCGCTCGCGTGCCAAACGCGATAGCAGTGGTGCGATGCAGGCTTCCCACGCGTTTGTCACATTGTGACAAGTCCTTTTTCATAGGCGTCTAATGTGGTTTCGACTTGGTTGTAGATATTGACTCGCGTGAAAAAGCGCAACGATGGCTGGACTGGGAGGCTCGGAACAAGCGCCGTTGGAGAAGAGAACGACGACGCTCCAAAAATGATCGAGCACGTTTGCGTGAGGCGATGGAGGTGATCAAACAGCAGAGCGTAGCGCAAGCCGAGATGATGAAACAGCAGAGCGTAGCGTACGCCGAAATGATGAAAGAGGTTTTGGCGGTTTGCAAAGCACTTGCGTCATCGATTGTGGCATCTGCATCGAGAGCTACATCGCCACCCACCCCTTCCTCCCCAACGCAAAAAATTTATATACGCATCAAAGGTAACATTGGACAAATGATCACCAAAGTGGAGGCAGCCTGAATAGACAATAATTAATTGAAATGAAGCATGTCACATGAATGACGGTGTCTGATCGAGACAAAGTAGGTGAATTTATGCGTCAGGGCTGGAAGGCCGGTGGCCACACATGCTCTTCAGCCATGAGCCTGTGAGGTATTCTTGCATCGTTGATAACCTGAAATTGATTTGCTGTTTATATTTACCACTCCAGTTTTCCATCGGTATACCATCACCAGGTTGTGCATCAAGTGAATGAAAACAAACCGATTGTTCAGATCTGACAGTGCGATGCCGCATGATCTGCTTCTCAAGCGTCGGGAGAAGAACTTGATACCCAAACACATTCTTGATACAATCGTCACGCAGGAAAGCATGAGCATTGAACTCAAGGCTACGATGTCAGGCAAGCAGGATCGGGTTCGAACCGTATCCATCTGCTCCAATGATGTGCTCGACACTGACATGGACAGCCTTAGCTTAACGCTCATAGTCCTGCGAAACCCAAACCAGGTGAGCAAGGGTACTTGATAAAGACAGCACTCAAGACAAGATTTGAGCGCTCGTGGCTGTCAGTATACGACGATGGGTTTGCAATTACAAGCCCGTGAGTTGGGTGTGCGCATAGCCGCAGTCTTCAAAAAACACATGACGGGCTGGCCTATGTTCTCGGACCAGTTCAAGCACGCGGCTCAGACGCATCTCCTTCGTATCAAAGGTAAAACCAAACGAGTCGCATTGATCCATGAGATTCAGCCCAAAGCTGAAACCAACACAACAAAGCTGCATTGCCGTCGTAGCTCAACCGCTGGTTACGGTTGCGACCACCGGGCCTGAAGATCGGATATCCGGTTCCATCGACAAAGGCAGCGATGCGTGGCGGACAATCGGGATCTGCGCGAAAAGCGGCTCTAACCCTCGGTCGTATGGTCTCGAAATTGACCCGCGATAGTCGAGATGTCTAATGTGCTGCGATCACCCAAGCGAAATGACAAACCCTATCATGCTGATCGGGGTGAATCGAATCACGCCAAACGCAACAACACCTCCGCAAACACGGCCCAGAATTTCTTCACCGCTGCCCGGCGAATTGCGGCCTTCTCGACAGCATCATAGCGCCTCCTAGACATGAACGCTTTGGGGGCCAAGTGTCTCCGCAACAAGCGACGCTTCCATAGCGAAAAGTATGACATTTTCTCACGATCGACACTTTGGCCCACTCCTGATGCGTTTTTGTATCAAATGTTGAAGATGATGTCCATATCAAACAAACACTTTAACAAGTTATCGTAGAAAAGTCTGGAGTTTGTGTTGGTTCGAATTTAGAGATGAGTGGGCCATTTCATCACATGTGCATCAGCATTTTCTCTCTCTCTCTCTGCTCGCTTCAGCTCTCTCTCTCTCTCTGCTCGCTTCAGCTCTCTCTCTCTCAAACTCTCTCAACTCTCTCAAACTCTCTCAAACGCTCTCAAACTCTCTCAAACTCTCTCTCACTTCTCTCTCTCTCTCTCTCTCTCTGATGGGCGAAACCCGACCGAGCACCTTCCGTACGTTGCAGAGTCCCTCTGGCTCATGGCCCTGCGTGTCGTGTTGTGCTTTTGGATGGCAAGCAAGAATGGCTGTCTGATGTGTGAGAAAAATATACTCTGGGCGTCAGAGAACAACAAGCCCAGGCTCCTTGTCCGGTTGTGCCCTTATGTGCTGCGGTATAAGCTCAAGTGGGCGTGAATCAATTTCGGTTTTCCAAGCGCTTGCCCCACGTGACCGGCGGCCTTGGGCCTTCCTCCCAGCTACCAGGTACATCCTGAAACACCTCCAAGCTTATTCTTCATGGTCTTTGCTTTTCGTGCTTCTCCCCCTTTGCCTCGATCATTTTGTGTCTCGCTGGGTCGGGGCGGATAGCCCCCGCCTTTTTTTTTAACATGGAAACCAGCAAGCCTTGTTCGCCGCTTTAACCCACCTCTGACGATTCGAAATGGCATGATATAGAATCAAGAATGGGGAAAGGCAAGGCTGTGGTGACGCCGCTTCTGGCTGCCGTTCTTTTCGGCCTCTGGCACCATGCCGCGTCCGACTGCCCTATTCGGCTCTTGGGTTTTCGCGATCACCTCATTCCTGTAGAATTTGGGCCCTTGAAAACCGACTGTGGCCGATATTGGGAAGATTCCGTGCCTGTCGGCACTGTTTGCAGCTTTGACAAAAGCTATCGCTACATGTTCTGGACCCACTTTCGTTGCATCGAAGACAGTACTTTTGTATTGGATGAAGCAGGCAATATGACATCCCGTTTCGAGCAAGCGGGCTGCACAATTCGAGGAAGCTTTGACGACGAGCCTGAGCTCATTTGCCGCGGCGTACCGGGACAAGAGAACATGCTTGATCGCTTGGCTGATGGTGGAGCACCGTCCAACCTTGTCGGGATCGAGGCTACGCATCACAATATTTCCTACGTGGCTCATCACAATGTTCACGGCTACGCCAAGCTGCGGTACCTAAACCTTGCCCACAACACGCTTGTACGCCTTGGAAATTTTGTGTTTGAGCCGCTGGTCCGATTGACACACCTCAACATGTCGAACAATGATTTTGCCGCCTTGGACGGTACGATGCTTCCATCCTATGGCCTCCTCCAGATGCTTGACCTCACCAACAACCCCGTCACCAAGATGGACATCAGCATTTTTGACGCCTGCTTCCCACGCGACTGCCGTCAGCGCCCAGCATACATACTAAAATTGCCTCAGTCAGAAACCTGTCAATGGACCCTGCAGAACCGTTGCTATGGGCCGATCGAGGTGCAGGGTGCAACAAATTCTAGCTGCCGAATTTTGAACGCGAATCGGGCACCTGCACCGTGCTTGAACGACCGCAGCGTCACCTTTGAGACTCATCAGTTCTGCGATGGCTATCGACATTGTGCGGATGGGAGTGACGAGTTCATGTGTGAACCACCCGCCATTTACACCGAAGCAGCTTTGATTGGAGCTTGCGTGAACAACTACCTCAAATTCTTCTTCCTGCGTGGCCGCGCTATAATGCGAGCTGCCAACTTGGATGCCGTTGCCGGCACGTGTGTCAACTCCCACTATCGCCAGCTGCAAGTATCTGGATTTGATCCCATGGTCAATGTATCCAAAGACTACGTCCGCCTCGTGTGGAACATTCAAATCGAAGAAGCCGTTGACGTTCTGGCTCATTTGACAGTGGATTTAGAGCGCTATGTACACGTCATGCTTGGCGAATTTGATCTCGGCGATGACATCATCATCTACGCCAATCAAACACAGCAGACTACGCGAGTCGGCAACACTCTAACCACGGCACCTTTGCCAGAGGGTATCCCCTCCCGGTCCCACCGCGATGATATCTTGCCTATCGTGGGCGCGGTAGTCGGTACGATGATCGTGATTGGGGCCATCGTGGCTGTATTTGCTTTTCGCAACAGGAGACGCCGTATAGATGGCTCTGCAATAGAGATGGTGCGTCAACTCTTGATATTATTTTTTCTATAATGGCATACTATTCTGCGCGTAAACCTACGAAGACAACACTGCGTGACTGCGCAAGTGACAAGCCCAAGATAACCGAAAATGCTGTCCTGCTTGGCCGACCATAGAAACCCATTAGTAGCCTGCTTGTCAAGGGCCGAGACATCTTCTGCAGCCTCTACAACAAAGCGGCGCGTGATGATGCAAATCAGGTTTGACCACTTTGTGCGAGGCCTCTTGCTACATTTTTCGCGCGACCACCAATGCGCTGAAATCGGGCTTCTTGGCTTTGGGCTGACCGATGCATATGGCACTGACATGTAGTTTGCTCGTATGGAGCTGCTTGGAGCGGTGGAAGTCATGCAGTGGAAAATATCTGATCAACTCAACCATGGTCACTTCAGCCACGCGACGTGCACCCTACAGCACGACCGGCAATCGCGACACGCCATCTGGATAGGAAATCAGCAGATCCTGCAGCCGGGTGCTTGGGAAGCGGCGCTTGATTTGGTGGTGGAGGCGCATTTGCTCAACTGTCTTCATCAACACCGCCACATTCTCAACTTTGCTGGCTATTCAACCATGAAAGACGGTTTCATTTTGGTATGTTTGCTTGCGTTTCGTCAATATTGTGATTCGTCAACGTGGTATGCGATGCAAACACCTCAGAGCTCATGAAAATATTTGTCAATAGATCTACGATATGAGCAATTACACCCAACTTGCCGATGTTTTGCGGTTGGATGCTCCAAACCCGAAAGAATCTGCCCTTATCTGCCAACGGGTACGTAACTGCACCTGCTCTTTGCTTAGTGTGATCAATGATTATCTGTACTAAGCGACAGCGTGGTTTGGCAGGTCGCTGAAGCCTGTTCGTTTCTGGACAGTCTCGGCATTGTTCATCGGAACTTGGGTGCCCATTCGGTTTTTTGTGTGGGAGATATTACCGAAGTCCGCCTTGCCAATATCAGTGCGTCAAACGCTTTCCTTCGATGACATGACTACCTCGACCGATGATTGGCGTGACTTCTACTCTTTTTTTATCTATTTTTTTTTTTTTTCTCTCACGATTGCTTTGGCTCGCCTCACAGCGACTGCGAGGGATGTATACTTGTCACAAGAGTATGTGGCTCGTACGATTGTCAATGAAGCCACGATGGCATCAGCAACAGCCATGGGCAGCTCAGACACTCACGATGAGTTTTCAAAGCAACTAGCCAAGCGATTCTGGTCTGCGGAGGTGTGGAGTGACCAGATCTTTAGTACAAAGTCTGACGTCTACGCCTATGGCCAGTAAGTCTTCCATCCCCAGTGACGTGCATCGTCATCTCAGCTCCCCGAAGGCCCTCACTCGTTAATCCCGTTTGGCCCATCGCCTCCCCCGCTTACTAACCTGCCCCTTCTGCCTTGTCTTGTGCACCCTCCACTACCACCCGGCTCCACCTGGCTCCACCCGGCTCCACACCCAACAGGCTCTGCTGGCAAGTCTATAACAAAGGTCAACTGCCCTACCCCGGCATGTCGCTCCAGTCCATTGCCCTCCACGTCCAACAGGGCACGCCACCCTCTGTTCGTGCCATTCCCAGCGAGCACGCGCGTCGCCTCATCCTACAGTGCCTTCGTATCAAGCCCGAGAGTCGCCCCAACTTTGCGTGCGTAGCCTTTGGTTTCCTGTGGCGTTGATTTTGCCCTTTTGATCTTCCCCCGTTTCTTTGTCCTTTTCCTCTCTCTCTCTCTCTCTCCCTCCCTCCCTCCTTCCTTTTTCCTTCCTCCCCTTGTTTGTTATCTTGACATGATTCGAGCCTCATGCACATTCACCTTCTCTTGCGGGCGTGTTCAGGACGCTGGCGGCCGCCTGGGCCAGTGCCGTCGAGGGCGACGAGTCGGGCGTGGCCGAGTTTGCCGGTGCCGATTTCGACACTCGGATCATGCAACATGTTGAAGGCGCTCGGCAAGTGTTCTGGCCAAACTCTCCTTGGGTCTTCTCTTGCCTCGTCCCGGTGTTCTTCGTTCGTGCATTGTGTGTCATACGCACGTGCTGACACAGATGGCCCGGGTGTGGATTGGTGTGGCGTGGTGTGGCGCTTTCCTCTGTCTGATAGGCTCGTTCCGGTGGCTGGACTCGAGGCCCTTCGCGTCTACACCAAGCTGGATGACCAGGACCCCATCAAGGTAGGATGATCGGCATTGGTGTTGGCAGCGAGACTACTAAGTTGTTGTCGTTGTTGATTTCAGAGTCGGGCCTTGAGCGCTACCTCTCCGGCTCTCGCCTCCCCTCACCCCACCACCCCTTTCTCGGTGCCATCACCTACTCTATAGCTTCAAGAGGTGGAGCGCTGCTCCCTGGATCGGCTCGATGCCGTCATGGCCCGAACGCGGCACATCTTCCACGAGCATCTTCAGATGCCCGTGGCTCACACCCGTGTTGGCAACCAGGCCAGCATTCTGGCTCCGTTTGCCAGCACATCCCTCACAGATTACCTTCAGCTTCACGCCAACATGGACTTGGACACGGCGTTGGGCCTGTGCCGCAATGCGCTGGAGGCTGTGGAGTATCTGGCCTCGCGTCGTGTGCTGCTCGAGGACTTGAGGGTGGGGGACTTTCGAGTGACGCGCCATGGGGTGCTGAAGCTTGACTATGGTCGACAGTGGGGGCTGACAGGTTTGGGCGCATCTGCCGAAGACAACGCGTCGAGACGTAGCGATAGCGTGAGCACCGGTGGCGGCGGTGGCGGCGGCGGCGGTGGTGGTGCACTGGACGAGGTGGTGACGGTCAAGGCGGCGGGTCGGTTCTTGGTGGACCTGTGCGAGCTGGTGGCAGCTCTACGTGACCAGTCGGAGCTGCGCCAACTGGGCGAGGTGATGCGGCGAGGACGGGTGAAGAAGTGCGGCGATGGGCTGTTGGCGCTATTGTCACTGGATCGACAACGGCGTCTGGAGCTACCGTACGAGCAGCTGACGTTTGTGCGTGCGCTCGGCCAGGGCGAGTTTGGCCAGGTTTCGGTATGTGACTTGTCCGAGGGGGTGGGGCCGGGCCAAGGAGTGGGGGGGTTGAGTGTGTGGGCATGAAGATGAAGATGAAGATGAAGATGAAGATGAAGATGAAGATGAAGATGAAGATGAAGATGAAGATGACGATGAAGATGAAGATGAAGTTGCAGATACTGGGGGTAGTTGGCATGTATATCGTGGCTGGTTACTGATTGGATATTGTGTGCTGTTGGTTTTGTCGCCTTGTTTCTGCTACTTTGGGGTTGGTTGGTTATTGATGTGGGCAGCTGATGACGCTGCGAGAAGGCGGGAGCACACGGCAGGTGGCAGTCAAGCTGCTGCTGGAGGCGCAACATCACAAGGAGTATGTGGCCGAGGTGACCATGCTGAGCAAGATGCACCACCCAAATCTGATGGGTTTGGTGCACACGACCGTGACGGCGGAGGGCCACCCGGGGATGGTACTGGAGTACATGCCGCAGGGGAGTCTGGAGGGGTGGTTGCAGGCACGAGGCACCCGAGTCAGCCACGAGGACCTGTTGTTGATTGCGCACCAGGTCAGGGCACCGTGACGGATGGTGCCGCTGTGGTTCGGATGCCGATGGAGGGTGCTGATGCTGATGCTGATAATGTTGGTGTTGGTGTTGGTGGTGGCGTAGGTGGCCATGGGAATGAATGAGCTGGCACGACTGGGCATTGTGCATCGCGATCTGGTATGTGCCCTGGCATCTTGTGTATCTATCGTGTGGTGGTGGATGGATTGTGCGCGTCGTTGTTCTTCGACTTCTCTTCACCTCTCTCCCTGTCTCGCTTTCTCTCTTTCCCTCTTTCTCTCTTTCTCTCTTTCTCTCTTTCTCTCTTTCTCTCTTTCTCTCTTTCTCTCCCTCTCGCTGTCCTGGGCTGGGCCTCAATGCCACTGTGGCGGCGGTGCCTCGCTCCTTGCTACGTCTGGTTGAGCGTAGGCGGCACGGAACGTGTTGATTGGGCGGTGCCTGAATGTCAAAGTGGCAGACTTTGGCCTCTCCCGGGTGATGCAGCTGGGTCGGGACGACTCGGATGCCTACTACCGGATCAAGACGCGACAGCCCATGCCCTTGCGCTGGATGGTAAGTGGCAGTGGGCCATGCCCTCGTGCGCGCGTGGATCTATGGTGAAGGGTTGTGAGGGATGTGGCGGTAGCGATGGTTGGTTGGTTACGGCCCTCTTTTCTTTCTTCTTTCTTCTTTCTTCTTTCTTCTGTCTTCTTTCTTCTTCCTCATCCTCCTCCCTGGGGAATGATTTTGTTAGGCCCCCGAGAGCATCTTGTCGCGAAAGTGCGATGTACGGAGTGATGTGTGGAGCTATGGATGTCTGTGTGTTGAGATGTGGAGCGGCGGCGAGGTGAGTTTGACGCCGGCGGAGGATGGTGGATGAGGCGGGGAGGATGTTGGGTAGAGCAGATGCTGTGTGGGAGCTGGGTTGGTGTTGTTGGAGAAAGAGGAGGGAGAGGCGTTGTTGTGTATGCGAGCGGGGTGTGCATTGGGCCCGGGACCTGTGCGGATGTGACATGACAGGATGTTTATTTGTTTGCTTGCTCGTTTGCTTGCTTGTTTGCTTGCTGTGCTTTTTTTTGTTTTGCTACCTTTGTGGCGAATAGTTGCCGTATGCACGACTGAAGGATGCCGAGGTGTTGGAGCGGCTGGTGGCGGCGTTGCAGGGGCATCTGAAGGATGGCGCCGTGGTGTTGGCATCACCATCACGGTGTCCCGCGGGCATTTCCGACCTGATCCAATCGTGTTTGTGTATCAACCCGGAGCTCCGGCTAGGCTTTGCCTTGCTGGTTCAGCGCACCCGTCCCGAGGTAAGTTGTGCCTGGTGCTTTTCGTTTATTCAATTTACCCCGGTTTGCCTTCACCACTGCACTTGGCTGTGACTTTGATAGGCCTGGGTGCCTTTGATTCATGGCTCCGGGACAGTTTTTCAGCGATCTGGCTCTCTCAGTGAATCCCGCATCTGATGTTCCGTCCATACACCGAATTCAAGTGACATTGTACTTGGTCATACTTCCGACAAGACATGAGCCCGAGCTTTTTACTGTCGATAGGACTTGGACTGTCTGGGCGCAGCCATCGCGTTGTTTACTTCCGAGCATCTTAAATTAAACTCAGCCTCCCTAACTTTTCTTTTTTGACAACGTTTTTCTTCCTTCATCATTTTTTTTTCTTTGTTTGTTGTTCATCATTTTGTTGTGATTTTTGCACGTGAGCGCAATGTTTTGGCAGTCGATGGCAGCATCAGACCTATGTATGACTTGAGACGGCATCGCGCGTGTCTGTGCCTGCTGAGGTTATTGTTGATCTGAAGGATTGATGTGATCGTGTGGGTGTTCTCACGAGGTCACGTTGAGATTTGTGGTGGGGAGAACGAGGCGCGAACGGCTGAGGGGCGTGCACGATATTATTTCGGAGGCGCGCTGGTTGGTTGTCCGAGCCATGTACCGTGTGACCTTTTGGATTCTTGCTGCTCTAACTGTGGCGTTGGCTGCAGATGCTCCTGGGTGCCCGGTGCATCTTCTCGTTGCAAAAAATGTTTACACCACGCCAGAATGCTTTGATTGTTCAGACCTGCAGGATCAGAACGGCATCAAGCTCGCAAGTATCAACTCTACTTGCATCTTAAATCCCAATGAAGGCAGCGATTGCCTGAGCAAGTTCTGGTGGACCCACTATGATTGTCACCCCAAAGGCTATTTTTTGCTCAACCGTGTGTTTGGACAACTCAACGAGGTGTACGCCAATGCCGGCTGTGAGGTTACGTTTGATGCGGAGGACGGGCGTCCCAGCCTGATATGTGATGGCGCTAACACCGCCAATCGGTTTAAAATAATGCCACGCGGTGGCGCACCCAGTGATCTGAAGCAGCTCGTGATTCGCAATCATAACCTGCATAAGTGTCACCGTGACAACGTGGTCATGTTTCAGCAACTCGAACGTTTGGACCTGAGCAACAACAAACTTGAATACGTACATGAGCTGGCTGCTCAATCTCTTTACAGCCTGAAATATCTCAATCTCAGCCACAACTTGCTTTCGCGATTGTATGCCATCCATCTACCGTTTGAGAATCAGCTGGATACTTTGGATGTTCGCTTTAATCCCATACAGGAAATTCGCTCGGATTTGCTGATTTCTGCCATGTCCCCAAACTGCAGCGCAATTTGGCTTCCGGAGGCGTGTGGGCTTGAGGCTTTGACCGACTGCACTGCTCTGCTGCCGGTGACGGCACCCACACCACTACCCATCTTGACCACAAATCCATCCTGGAATGACAATATGGCCACATCATGCGTGGTGTATGAGGAGACTCTGAACCTGACTTGCTCGGATAACAGCAATACCATTACCAATTTCCAGTACTGCGACGGCGTTCAAGATTGTGATAATGGATGGGATGAGTTTGAATGCTGCCAGCTCTGGGAAACGTCTAACATTGATTTTCTTGGCGGTTGTAGTGATGGTGAACTTCGCTTGCGCTACCAACGAGGGCATGCCCAGCTAGGCCCACCTGATCCAACTTTTGTGGCTTATGATTGTTATGAGTTCTTCCGAGTACGGTACACCACCGCGACGTTGGACACCATGGCAATTACGAATGATTCAACTCGGATCTATTGGGCCCCTAGCCTCGAGTCCTCCGATGGAGATCTACAAATCAACACGACCCTCTATCGAGACGAGCTGCAGCTGACAGCTGAAGATGACACCACTAGCTTTGCGTTTCCGGCCCCCATCAACTCCTCCAACAGTATCAATTGTGATGCAAGAACGACCATCGCCACGACGGCAGAGCTTACAACCATCGCGACGACTGAAGCTTCCCTAGTTTCAAGAAGTAGTTCTGGCATGGTTGTGATCGCCAGTGCCATGGGCGCAGGCTTGGGCTTGCTGGTGCTGGGCATCATAATTTTTATGTGTTCTCGTCGCGTCAAGCTCGACCGCCCGGTGTGGGCCCTAGAGGCTTCAGCCGCTGTTTTTGCCCGACAGTATGCCCGTGTGGCTCAAAAAAGCACAGAGCTCGTGAGTCACGTCCTCCATCGATCATGCGGCTGTACACTGGCTTGGTGGGCCGGGGGTTTTGTTTTGCGTTTTGTTAATTTTGTTAAATTTTTTTTTTTCTGGAGGGAGGGCTGTGTTATTTCTGCACAATGTTGATCCGACTCGACTGTTTCTCGTGCATGTGCTTGACTCTTCACTTAGACGTCACAACTTGCCGCTATGACTGTGAGCGCCCGAGAAGTGACCTTGAAGCGACAAGCAAGTATTTTTGCAACCTTGCCATTTGATCAAGGATTCATGACCTTGAGCTCGACGCGCAAATGCTATTCAGGCGTATACCTGCCGGCTTTTCCAACAACCGAAGAGCAGCCAAACGTCGAGCGTGCGCTTGTAGAAGCACGTCTTTTACTCTGCTTGCAGCAACATGCTAATGTGCTCAAGGTGCACCACCTTGCATCGGACGACCGCGTTCAAATTTTGGTATGCTGGCCTGCGTGTGTGGACGGGCAACTAGGTGAGACCTATGTACTCACTGTCGTTTGATTGGCATCACATTTCCAGCTATATGAGGAAATTCAACAGGGGCCACTGGATGTTGCGCTGGCGCAATACAAAGTGACTCAAGCTCAAGGCAGAGAAATATGCCTCAAGGTGCGTAAGCCAGGGGTGCTTGGACATTCCACTCCTTGCACCGCTGATCTCGAGGCCGAGCCGGAACTGAACTTCTAGGTGGCTTCGGCTTGCTCTTTTTTGGAGAGCATGGGGATTGTGCATCGCAATTTGGGGGCACACAGCATCTATGCGTGCAGTGACATCACTGACGTCCGATTAGCTGGATTTGGTGCGTGACATTCCCAGCCAAGAAAGAGTTTACACGATGGCAATGGCGTACTACCAGAAGCGTGGAAATTCAATCAGTGGACATGTGAATAGGCCTGTCTCGAGACGTGTATTTTACGGAAGAGTACATGACCAAGAACGCAGCTGCCTCGCAGCTGGCACCTGATCGCCGATTCTGGAGTCCAGAAGTTTGGCAGGATGGCAATTTTAGCTTCAAGTCGGATGTCTTTGCATTTGGACGGTCAGTGGCTTTGGCACGCCTTTATTTTTTTTCTCGTTCCAAAAAAGAATTGGGTGTGCTTTGTCATGTGAGCGCATCGACTCGCTTGCACTGTGTCTGACTTGGTACTTTCGACGCTAAAGGTTTTTCTGGCAGGTATATAACAACGGTCAGATGCCATACAAAGAAATGCCTGAACGTCAATTCGTGTCCGCCAGCGTCACAAATGCGCTGCCAGCGCTCCCCGTCGTGGAGGATCCGCTTGCACAGCGCTTGATTGAAGCTTGCCTCAGAACGCAACCCCGGTCACGACCACGTTTCGGGTACGACACGAAATTGACATTGAGATGCTTGACTGGATTGCTTATCTCACAACTGTATCGGTCACCGCACGCATGTGCGTTAATTCTGATATGTTACGCTTTCCATAGTGCGCTCGTGGCTGCTTTGCAAGAGGAGAATGCTTATATGGCGGTGGATGCCACGATGGTGCCGACTCAACTTGTCCGCATAGCCGTCGATCGGTGTGTTACTGCCACGAGAGTCCCCGCTCAATAGCATGACAAGTGACTGAGACGCCTCGTGTTTTGGTCTGATGTTAGGCTCGTGTCGGAGCCTGGTCATGAGAACATTTTCAACTTGAATGGACAGCTGGTAGGATATCTCGCAACCAGACGAATATGCACTCGAACTGCATCTTATTCGATCGTTCCCCGGCCCTAGGTGGAATGTATTGCGCGAGGCTGTTCTGAAGACATTCAACGCGTGGTGCGTTTGGGCGCAAACGGCTTACAGTTGGTACCGCTGTTGTACCCCCGTGGCTTTGCTCACGATGACTTGAACCATATAGCTGGCTTTGCGCAGCAAGCTGGACTGCATTGCCCTACCTATGCTTCGTGCCGTGGCGGAATCATCAAATGGAGAAGAACTGGTTTTAGTTGATAGCTATGTTACCCCCTTAACGGCTCACCTCAATGCATCAGTGCCTGTGGAAACCGGACAGCGATGGCTTGAGGAGGTGATGGTGGGACTGGAGTATTTGGCTTCTCGGCACTTGTACTTTACTGACTTTACAGTTGACAACTGTTATTTGGATGAGGAAGAGCGCGTGAGGCTACGCAACTGCCCCTTGCAGCCTTCCAGTGCTGAGAGCACCGACGAAGTGGCGGTGGTGCGAGCAGCAGGACAATTTATAATAGATTTCTGCGCCCAACTTCCGGCGCTGAGCGAGTCGGGTTTGCCTCAACTTGCAGAGGTTATGAAACGGGGGCGCGTCAAACGTTGCAGCGACGTGATTCTCGCGATTTTATCGACTTACCGAGAGCGTCAATTAGACATCCCATTTGCGCAGCTGACATTTGTGCGCAAGCTCGGCGAGGGCGAATTTGGAGAGGTCAATGTACGTGCCTGATTCCCGGCTCGTGGCGCTACCTCGTGAGCCCATCGCTTTTTTTTTCCTAATCTTGTTTTTGTTGCTCGTTCTTTTTCCCTTGTTCTTTTTTTTTTTTTTTTTCTTTTCTCTCTCTCTCTCTCTCTCTCTCTCTCTCTCTCTCTCTCTCTCTCTCTCTCTCTCATACAGCTAATGAGCATGGCCAATCAGTATGGGAGCACGCTACAAGTGGCCGTCAAAACACTTCGTGACGCCAGTTTGCGCGAGGATTTCATGTCCGAAGTGACAATGATGTTGAAGCTGCATCACCCCAATCTAGTGGGTTTGCTGCACACGAGTCAGACGACTGACGGTCACCTCGCGATGATTCTCGAGTTTATGCCAGGCGGCTCCCTTGAGGGCTGGCTCGAAGATCGAGGCCGGTCAGTGAGCCAAACAGACCTCATTTACATTGCACACCAGGTTAGTTATTGACGGTCTGAAGTGAGGTGGCATCGTGGTTTCACTGGCCTCGCACCATTGAGTGTTGACCATTGCGAGATGCAGATATGGCATGTGAGCTTGTATGATCACTCAGGTGGTTTTGCGGGCGTCTGCATTCTTGCAGGTGGCCAGTGGTATGGCTGAGCTCGCGCGCTTGGGCATTGTCCACCGCGATTTGGTAAGTCGTCGAAGGAGAGTTGGTACAAGTTGCGGTGTTGGCAACCCTCAACTTTGCGGCGAACACAACCATAGGCGGCGAGAAACGTGCTGATTGGCCGTGCGCTGAATGCTAAAGTGGCTGACTACGGGTTGTCCCGCACAATGGCGATTGGCACGGAATCAGAGGAGTGCTACTATCGCATTAAAACATCGCGCCCGATGCCTGTGCGCTGGATGGTAGGTGTCTGACTGCATGTTGCTTGATCACGGTCGCCTGGTGTGGTCTCTGGGCACTGCGTGCTTGTGCTTATTTGTTGTGTCTCGGCACAGGCGCCCAGTACCATTGTGGATCGAAAGTTCACCTCCGAATCAGATGTGTGGAGCTATGGCTGCTTACTCTGCGAAATGTGGAGCGCTGGCGAGGTGTGTGTGCTGGTTATGCCAACTAGAGTGCCCATCCTGGTCACTTGGCTGAAGGCTTGTGCTGGACAACACCATCGACCATCTGGCTGTGACAGCGCTGTTGCTGAAGCACCTTTCACCTTTCGCGCTAGATGCCTTTTAATGATTTGGACGATCAGCAAGTCGTGGAACGCCTGTTGGCAGCCTATGCTGGTCGGGTGCCTGAGAACGAACCGGTCTTGGCCAGCCCAAAAAGCTGTCCTCCCTTGATTGATGCCTTGATTCAGTCGTGCCTGACCGTCAATGGCGAACTACGACCCAACTTTATCGTGTTGCGTCGTCGCACGCTGCCTCAGGTACGTATATTCGGCATGGGGAAGCCGGCCTTGTTGATTTATTATTTTGCGCTGACATTACTCTGGCACCTGCTGAATAGCATTGGGCGGCTTTGGAGCGCCTCGACATACCCGCCCCCAGGATTTCGGGACATGTCGGCCTGTACTTGGACGTAGGCACGGATGAAACCATGCTATAGAACTGGTGGTTTCGCAAAAAATTACATTGTATTATTCTTTGCGCAAGATGCTTGAGCTTCGCCGGCCTAGACATCGGCACCTAGATTGTAATTAATCAATCGATTCAATCCCCGATGTGACGAGCAGCGTGGACACTCTTCGTTTTGCACAATACCCTTGACCCAGTCAGGGACTTGCTTGTGACTGGGTCAAGGGTACTAGCTTGATCGCGATGCGAAAGTGCGAAGGTGTTCTACTTTTATTTTAACATTATGAGTGAGGACATTGTGATTTTGAGGTGATCTTGATCTGAGCCACCGTGTCTTGCATAACTTGAAACCAAAACATTGCCAATTCTGGACCTCCTCCAGTTCGTTGAGAGCAGACACTGCCCGCCCGTGAACATCATTTTTTTTTTTTATAGCCTCTTTCAATTTGTGGCTGGCTTCGCAGGCGTTCTCGAGAGTCTGCGGTATGCGCTCGCAGCTCGCTCGTAGATTTGCTTTGACAGTTCTTCATGTCTGCGCTCTCACAACCATTTCGTGATGCTTACTTTGGACGATCACCAGCAGTTCAAATTTTGTCTCCGCGTCGTCGTTTTTTGGGGTATACCAACTTTTGACTTTGAGACACAAGAGAGACGTGTGTTAACGGTGGCCTTCGCCAAAAGCTGCGTGATAAGGACAAGGTGCGTTTTCTTGTGCGGCGTAGACGCCCTTTCTGTCTTGTGAATCGTCGTCGACTCACAATCTCTGTCTCTTGTTTATTTTTGATTTTTTTTGCTCGACATGTCAAGAAATACAGTGATTCGCTTCATTCCCGCTACAGTTTGATGCTGTTCGGACAGCTTGGAAAAAAGAAATCGAAGGGTATCCAATCCCTAATCGAGACGTGGGCATGCCCCAAACTCTATTTCGGGTTCTCCGCCCCAAGGAGTGGCAAGAGGCCGACAAAAGGGGGTATCTCTGCGCCGCAGATCCTCTTGAAGGCCCTCTCGAAAATGACACAATTCAAGACCATGTGCTCAACGGCTCTACACACGTGTTGTCATTTACGGCCGACTTGAACGTGGCTCTTGCTTTCGGTGGCTGCCTGTCCGATATCGCAGTGGTGCAAGAGGCTGGCCTGCCCAGTGATCGCGTGTGTCGGTTGGACAAGGGGTACTTCCAAGATCAGCACCTGTCAAACAAGCAGGCCATTCAGCGATCGAGGCGCTCCGACGAGGTGCTCGTGAGCTGCGAGATCCCTTTCAAAAAGGTCGAACTCCTACGAACTAATTGCACAAATTGTGAGAGTGTCTTCGTGCCCCAGTTTGTGGACAAAGACCGAGCAGACTTTCCATCTGAGGACAGTCTCATGGCAGCCCTGAATGATCGCACCTCGCTCGGCGCCGAGCGCGTCAGCACGGCAAACAAACGATTTTTCAAACTGATTGTCAATGGGACGACATGGCTTGCTCGGACGCCACGGCCAAACGTTGACTTGGAAAAGCAAGTGCTGTTTGGTGAAGAGTTGGTTCAGCAGAGCTATCATGAATTCGCCTGCTTTGGTGCATATCGTATGCTATGCAGTGAGCACGCTCCACGCTGCGTGCTGTACCGACTGAGCTTTGAATGGGAGCCAGTCAACGGGCTGCCTGCTCCATCAGCACCAGTGAGCTGGTCGCTGCTATTGATGGAAAATTTAGAGTTCCAACCCGACCCATCGCCTTCTGAACGGCTGCGCAGTGCCGCCCTGGCCCTGCTGCCGGTGGATGTGCTCCTCGGCAACTGGTATTGTGCCGGCGATGCTGACACGTTTGATCGGCTTGCGAGTGAACATGAGGCAGTCTACGGCTGGCGCCCAAGTAGCGGGCATTGGGTCCGCCTTGCGGTAGATAGGGCACTTGATGGCACGTTGGCCGAAGATCTGGCCAAGGACGGCAAGCACAATCGCCCTTTGAAAGAAAACCCACTCCTCCTCTTAAAAAGCTTGAAAAACGAACACGCCTGGCTGTACGCCAGCGTGACGGGCTTTGACTCATTCATGCAGATGTATGGTGGTCCCGACACGAAGCATACCTTGATGGATGAAATCGGTCAATTTGTGAACTCTGTCCTTCCAGAAGACACAGGCTGCATTGTTGAGGCTCTTAAAATGCGAAATAGTGAGCTTGTGATGCGCCTGCCCTTTCAAAAACTGCGGCGGTCAGCTCCAGTTGCCTGTGATGGCCACGCAGTTGTGTATGTGGCCCTCCCCAAGCACAAGTACCTGTACTTGCTCGGTGGCAACAGCAAAAAAGGAGCATTGCGCTCCGTCTATAGGGCTGAACTGAGCAGCGACGGCGTGAGTGATTGGAAGCCTATGCGTGGCATGCCAGTGAAAGGGCGCTACTCGTTCACGGCCACGCACTGGAACGATTTCATTGTCGTCTTTGGTGGCTTTGGTGGCTCTAGCTGCCCAGTTTCTTTCAACGACTTGCTATTCTACAACATTCACGATGACAAATGGATATCTCAGCGGCCTGCAAACCGTGAGAAGTGGCCTGACCCCCGGTGCCGGCACACTGCTACCTTGCATAAAGGATGTCTCTATGTGATTGGGGGCTGCGCGAAAAGCAGCCTTCACGACGTGTGGCGCGCTGAACTAGACGGACAAGGTCCAAAAGTGCGCTGGACAAAGCAAGGCTCTCTACTGAAGGCGGTGCACCGACACTGGGTGCTCGTACAAGGGGATGCGCTGCTAGTGGTAGGTGGGTTTCATCAGCCACTGTCCCGCATTCAGCGCGTTCCATTGGGACAAGACCCAACAGTCACAATGCATATCACCAACCACGTTAACCTCGGCGAGACTGGTCGAGCTTCGCTTGTTGGCTTTGCGGCAGTCATGGATGAAGCTGACCGTCGACTCATTGTGTTTGGAGGCGATGTTCCACGCTCCAAAGGCAAGCATGGAGCTCGCCAGCATGTCACGCGTACTTTCGGGTCGAGGTGTCAGGCTCTCCGTCGTCATTCTCACATTATCCAGTTGCAACTCTGTGAAAGTCAGCACAACGCTGCATCGAATGGTGATGAGTTGGTGTGGAGCGAGTGGAAGCCACATGCCGATCTGGATCAGTCATCACGACTTCCCCCTTTGACAGGCTGGACCGCCACTTTGGTTGGTCACACCGTGTACTTGATCGGTGGCCGGCGCGACGACTCAAACCCCTTCTCCGACTCTATCTACGCCATCAACCTTCGCCTGGAACACTCGCAACTGCTCAAACAGATAGAGATCATCGGACGCGAACTGGAGGGAACCATCCCGCAGTACCCTCAAAACCTCCGGGATGAGGCCATATCCGCTGCCAAACGGGCGCTCCCATCACTTCAAGTGACAACAAGCAACACGTGCCGCAGCGACCTGCGTGTTATGACACTAAACGTTCACGAATTTTTTGATCCGTCCCGATCGCGACTATTAAATCATGAGGTCAACAAATGCGTTTCCTTGTTTGCACCAGACGTGATTTGCCTGCAAGAAGTCAAGCACCCTCTGCCCGCTGGGCGTGAGCCCTTGCGGCCGAGCTCGTCCTCAGACCACACTGCATTGGACGCGTTGGCTGCGCAAGTGGGAGATACATTCCCCTTCTTTAAGGCCTACCCAAACGCTACAATTGGAAACGCCATACTCGCCCGTCATGCCAGTGAGCAGACCGAGGTGTTTCATGACAACACTGGCTGCCAAAACACCGTGCTTCGCGTTGTCAAGGGGTTTGAATCCTGTGATTTAGCAGTAGTTTCGACTCACCTGACAAGTCAAACCGATTGTGATCGACTACAGCTAGTCGAATCACTGAGGAAATGCTTACGAGGTTACTTTAAGAGGCCCCTAACAGCGGACTGCCATGAGCTGCAGCTGACATGCCTGCCGCACATTCTCTGCGTTAGCTTCAATGCATCGCCCGAGCGGACGTCTGAAGCCCCGAGCCCCTCGGACAGACTGGACATTCCTTCTCACATTGTCTACGAGTACCTGACCCAAACGAAGGGATACGTGGACCTGAACACTGAGTCGCTCCAGTCCACGTCGCAACACAGCAAGGCCTACATTTTGTGCTCTCGTGCGTTGTGGTGCCGAGTTAAGTCGCACCACCTGCACGCGCAAGCAACAGGCTCTGACCACTTGGCGCTGCTGGCACACTTGACGCTTGCTCCTCGCAACAATATTGTGGGCCTGTGTGGCCCTGTCAACGTGCTTGAAAAAATTTTAGCAAGCGACCGAGCCGCCAAGGTCCAAAAAGTGTTGTACAAAGCCCAAAATGATTTTCTAAAAGCGTGCGAGGCCATGGCAAGGGACGGCGTCGAAATGGTTGTGTTGTATGGAGAGCATGTTGGCCACGTGGCGCCAGCACTGGATCGGCTCTTTGTCCTTCAAGATGGTGATCCAACTGACGAGTTCCGATATATGGCCAACAGCGAGCTGTGTGGTTCTGCTGCGGAGGCAGCGGAGCGTTTGGCTGATTACTTCTGCCTCTTTAACCTTTGACTCACCTGTGACCGCAGATACAAGGAAAGCGACAAACATCCAAGCATCAGGAACACAAACACAAGTGCCAGCGTCGAATCCGTACGCCCACGGATTTAGACTCTCCCACTGCTTTCGCATACATCCAGCTTTCTCCTCGCCAGAAACCCTAAACACAATGTCACCGATGGGCAATTGTGCGACTTGACTCACTGACAAACACACCTAGACATACCTGTAGAGACTTGCCTTGATGGGACACATGAACAAGCCCCTGCGCGCTTCGTGTACTTTGAAATCTCTGGGCAGACTTTGTGTGATTACCGTTGTCTCTCCTCTTGTTGGGGCACCTGCGGTTGGATGCAGGTCGCACTTTCCTTGTTCTCTGGATCGAGCTTTTTTCACGGTGAGCTGGACGTGAATGCTTGCTGACCGCAGGTGGTTCAATCGACACCATAACGCCGTCTTGACGGACAGCTCTCAAATCCTCTAAACTGCTTTCCCAACACGCATGCGCCTACTTGGAATGCAACCTGACCTCTCTCGCTGTAGAGCCTGACCACAGGTGTTTTTCAGGTCATCGCACAATTGCAAACATGAGCATCGCTCGCCAGAACAGAAAGTGATCAGTGGAGGGAGGCAAACAAAGTTGATTTTCTCAAGACCCTTTTTCTTCCACTCGCCCTCACCCCGAGTTGATTGGAATCAACTGTTCGTTCGTGAAGCAGCTGAAAGCACCCCTTAAAAACAATTAAACTTGGAACTCCTGCTTCACAGTCGCTGTCTGTCAGGCTCCAGCACCGCGCGAAAAAATGTAAATTGCAACCGTAACGGTCAGGACACACGACGGACTTAACAGAAATAGAACAGAAAAGAAAAAGAGAAACCTAGCAGCCAAGTAACCAAGCAGGTGTCAGGCTCCAGCACGTCTGGAGGCCGGTTTTGGGTTGCAAGGAAGCGCGTAGATTTGAGGAAGCGTTTTGAGAGAGGTTTGAGAGACGTCCGTCGGGACGAAGCGAAAGCTTTGATGGTGTCTTGAGGTCAATTGAACCAGCTGCGGTTGGCAAGCATTCACAGTGACCAGATCAGGTGCACCGTTAGAATCGCTGTAGAGCCGCTCAATCCCAAGGATAGGGAAAGTGCAACCCGTGCCCAACCGCAGGTGTCATAACAAAGAGAAACAACAATAGTGGCAAGCTTATGGCCCCAAGGCATGTGCCAGGAATCGGGGGGTCTAAGTGTGGGTGTGCATGAGTGAGGTCACAGCAGCTATGGGGGTTTCAGTAAAAAGACTTATAGTGACCGACACTGAGTGTGCGAAAGTAGTGGGAGTGCTCAAGTGAGCACGAATTTGACGCTAGCAACTGTCGGGTCAAGTCCTTGGGTCAACGGATTTGGACACGCTCATGACTATATCAGGCTCCATGGCCAGCTGGAGCTGCTCCAGGCGATCCTCGAGCTCGAGAAGCCGAGGAGAACGCATGCCCCAAAAGGTGCGCAACAGGCTTGACCAAACAGATTCGGTTCGGTAGTAGCGAGCCAAAGCAGTCTGAACTTCCAGCACTTGCCGAAGTAGCGCCTGGCGCTCCTGCCACCGCTTCTCTTCAAGACGGCTTGCCTGCGCGCGCGCCGAGCGGCCGCGCCGTGCAACATAGTGTTGCAATGTCTATGGGAGCGGGGCAGTAGTTGTGCAAGCAGCGATCGTCTCTTTTTCGTGAAAATGAATGAAAATTCAGCAGAAATTAAGCAGAAATTAAGCAGAAATGAATGACAAGCCGCCATAGACTCTGGTAGCATGATGAGCTCACCTCTGACTGATCCAAGGCCACTGGCACGCCATCCAGGAGAGACCAAATGGCCACTGACCAAGAGAGGAACACCACAAGGGACATGGCCAGCAGCCAAAGACCCTCACTGGCGGTCACGTGTAATGCACGCCTAAAGCTCAAGCAAGGAAAATCGGCACATGAGGTCCGGGGTTGAGCTGACACTTTCTTTAGAACGGCAAGGCCATCGAGTGCATCACTCAAATGGACGGGCAAGAGGAGGTGTGTGGTTCACGAGGAAGGGAGAATGCGAGGTACCGGGGGCCAAGCGTGCCGCAACGCCCCGACTCACTCACCGCAATGCGAACAGCTGACGCCAGTAATGTCCTGTACCCACGGTCATGAAAATCGAGCCCATGCAAAATAAGCCTAGCACGGTTGATGGGCGCAGCAGCAGAGTGGCATGGCGGCATGAGGGTTGCTTTGTGAAGTGGCATGCTCCTTTGCAATACGCCATGTACCCGTGGAGGCGAGCGGTTCGATGTTGTAAAATGCCGCTGCTGCAACTGTAGTAATGACGGCATTGCGCGTCCAAGAGAGGTATCCATTCTCATGTGCTAAGCGCAGCGTCTGTCAATCAGATGCATCAGGTCAATCAACATCAAAAAGAGGTCGTGGACAGGCACCCGCGTCTCCTGCACTGAATGCGTCGAGCATTTGGTTTCCGGGCAGCACATACCCAGGAAGCGGGGGGGCGATCGATGGAGGTGTGACGTCGACATGAAGACCATGGTGCGGAAGTTATCCTCTGTGACCCAGCGGCTACGCGAGAGGGCTGGCCTTTGGCGTGTGACAGGGTCCGAAGGGTCAGTACAGATCGACCTGGTGCCGCTTGGCGCGCTCGCTGTCCGCAGCAATAAGGCTGCGTCATAAGCGGCCTAGTGCCGCTGACTCGCCCCATCCGCGACGAGCTGCAAAGCATATTGACATGGTAGCTCCTCTGTAGCTGTAGAACGCCACCAACGCCCAGCTCACCCCGTGGCCCTGCTCGTGTCCAACTTCCCAGACGACTCAGCCAGTGCGCCAGCGCCATTTTGTTTGTGTGGTGAGAGAAGAGAGAGAAAGAGAGAGAGAGAGACAAAGACAGAGATGTGTCAACACAGAAACAAAGAAAGAAAAAAAATTCAAAATTTTTGAATTTTCTCTCTTCAAAAAAAAAAAGGTAACAAGACATCGGAGGGAGGGTCCAGGGCTAGGCACTGCCCGCTGCTCGCCGCTCAGTGTATGCATGTATGTCTGTCTGTGTCTGCCTCTGGGTGTGTGTGTGTGTGTGTGTGTGTGTTGCTTGGTACTTGATACTCAGAGTTCCATCATTGGCAGCAATAAGTCTTCATGAAGTGGGAAGCAGGTCTGCGTTTGTCTGGCTGCCTTTGATGCGATTTGTGGTGCCGGTCGATATTTGTTTCGCAGCTATCATGGCCGACAAGCCAGAGAATGACGATGCCACCTGGGTGGACGAGACCTCAGCTGCCTTGCGCGACGCAGGATACAAAAGTGCGTGCAATGGCTGCTATTGCATATCACAAAGCAGGCATCAAGCTGACTCCCTCTTGGCTTGTCGCAGTTATCCGATTTGGCGAATTCGGCATGGTCTACGTGGGTCAGGTCGACTACGACAACAAGCCGGATGGTACGACGTTGCTTGCGCCCAGCGTTCACTAGCCACGCACCGCCAATGAGGGCGGTGTGCTCGTGTTAAAGCAAGCAAGCTTTCAAAATCGTGTGACTGTCACTGGGCGACGTCTCACCTCAACGCCATGCTGTGCAGGTCATGGCTACATGTATTTGAAGAACGGCGATGTGCATGAATGCGAGTTTCGCAACGGACGAGCCAATGGCGAAGGCGTCTACGTCTCCAGCAAGGGTATTGAGTGGAAAGGTTTGAGCGTTTGTGCATTTACCGGGCAAAGTCTAGAACCGAGAGCCACCCAGTGCCGGGAAGGGCTCACAGCTGTCTTTCTGTTGCTCAGGACGCTGGGAGGCTAACAAGAAGACCGGCCAGTTTGCCGTGGTTGATAGTACGGGAACGCACTGGACAGAGAAATATGACGCCGAAGGCAAGCGTGTGGCACGCAAAAAACTTCGCGAGGCTGTTCCCAATGAAAAGTTTGTCGCCGGTGGCGAGGAACCTGAAACAATCGAAGTGGAAGTACCCAAAGACGAGGCCGCCATGCAGGTCAGCGACCCGAAACGGGGTTTGCGCAGGCCCAGCTCTCACTGCCCAAACCATCCAACCCGTTCGCGCCCCAACCCCTTCGCGCTACCTCTAGTTATTCCTCACATTCATCCCTCTTTGGCTTGACCGATCTCGTCGTTTGGTAGTGTTACTTTTGCAATGGCAAGGCGCGCGACCGTAACAACCATGCCTGGGCATGCCGGTGAGGCCTTCCCGTCTGCTTGATTTGCGCAAGTGCCATGCACATTCTCATCCTTTGATCTCATGCCTGATACATCTCGCTGACTTTCAGTGCCCACTCGGGACGCTTCACCGAAGATCGCACATATCGCGGTGAGGGTGAGGCCCCTGGGGTCTGGTCGTGCTGTGGCCGAGAAGAGCGCAGCGAGCCTGGATGCGCTTTCCGCTCGCACAACTTCATGTCTGCCTAGCAAGCTCCGGCGACGTGCCACCAAAGACAAAGCATCACCAACCCACCAAGCTTTTGAAAAGCAAAGCTTCTGCTCGTTGACTCATGTGTGTGTGTGTGACTGAGGGATGTTGGGATTTGAAGCCTCTACCCGTCTTTTCTGAGCTGGAATCTGTATGTTGCAGCGCGCATCTTCATCAATGTCGCAACATCTTTGCGGGGAGAAGGCGGTGACTCGTTCATGCTAATACGTGTGCGTAAAATCCTCAACTGTCAATTAAAGAGAAAGATAACGAGAACACGAGTGGCTTTGTCATGCCGGCGCGATCACATGTACATCCTTGCACAGACGCGAAGTAGACCATGCTCACAGTCGAAGCTTCAGCAACGGTCTCTTCCGACACTGCCTCAAGACCCAATCCTCACATAAACATATGGGAGGGGCGGTCTGAGGCAAACATGCGAGCCACACGCTCCTCGCCCAGCACATTGCTCAGGCGCAGGGCGTCGTAGCGGCTGTACATGACGGTACACGTGGCTTCGGCTGCCTCCTCTGGGCCAATGTTGTTGAGCCACTCGCTGTAAAATTGAGGGTAGAGGGGAAGCTGATAAAAGACCACGTGGTGCACGCGGCGAAAGCGAGAGCGAAAGTGGTAATGATAGCGCTCCGTATAGAGCAGTAGGGGCCGAGTGCCGTGGTAAAGATAGGATTTGGCGCGGGTCACATTTGATTGTGACGTGTACTCGCAGATCTGGGCACAGTTGATTCGGTTCTTTTTGAGGTGATTGCGCAGGCGCACAAAGTCAAAGTAAGACGGAATGACCACGAGTACGTGTTTGAGTGATTGCTTGCTGATGATGGGCAAGACATGGTCCAAAAAGTATTGAAAGCGTACGTCCGCCTCCTCGACCCGCGTTGGCACATCAAGCGCGTGAAAGATCTGCAAGGCGGAAGTGCACAATCAACAACGCATGCATGAGCGCGACGCGTCTCTGGCGCACCATGCTTGGGCAAACGGCGGTCTTCCTACACTTGCAACACGAGATGCGTACTTGGCTCACGCGCGGAATCACGTGCGTAATGGTGGGTGGACGCGGGTGTGCAATGTGACGCTGCGTTGGGCAGGCACCAAGCGAAACAAGGCGACAATGTACCAACGTGAACAGTCATTCAAAGAGTTGAGCAAGCGACACCAGTTTGAAGCGCTGGCTTACCTTGCCGCAGTAGTTTTGTGCGTAGCGGCGCCAAGTGGCAGAAAGCTCAGCGCTCATGAATTGTGAAACAATGATGGTTTGTCGGAAGTGCGCCGACAAGTCCTCCAGCTGGTACAGGCGAATGCGGTTGATATCCGCGTCTCGAGGCTCAACGGGCTTCAGGTTGAGATGAGCAAGCACGTGGTCGAGATGATCATAGTTTTGCATATGGAAGACGTCGGCCTGGAGCACCAGTCAGCAGCGACAGGCGACACAAGTATCAGCTGGGACGAGCTATAGCAAACAGGGACACACCGGAGAGCCATCGCGTTCAGGAGCAAGGCTCGCAGGCACGGACCTGGTCAGCGATGACCAGCTCGATGGAGCTCAGGAAATCAAAATCACGTTTTTTGTCGCCTTCCCCCCCAATGATGCGACGAAGACCCAAAGGAGAGGCCACGATAATGTCGGAGGAATACAGGTCGTTGTAAAGATTGACATTCTTCGCCTTGACGGCCATCTGTGATAAAAGACAGGGCGCAGAGAAAGAGAAGGAGACGGAGAGACAGTCAGACAGACAGACAGACAGACAGACAGACAGACAGACAGACAGACAGACAGACAGACAGACAGACAGACAGACAGACAGACAGACAGACAGACAGACAGACAGACAGACAGACAGACAGACAGACAGACAGACAGACAGACAGACAGACAGGCATAGTTTGTGACAATTTTAGCACACACGATTCTGCCAAAGGCGCAGTCGCCTCAGAGCTCAACATGTTGGAACGTACGCCGAGTGCAAAGCAGTCATCTTGATTGCCGGCGAAAAAAGAATGGTACTCTGGATAGTAGTGATTGTAGTCGCGCGGCTCAGCCCCATACTCACGGGCAAATCTAGGCAGATCGAATTGAGCGAACCAAGGGTCAGGAAACACCGGCCCTCGTGGATTGCAAGTGGAGACGATCAGCGCTATCGAGAAGCATTCCATGGCGAATGGGTCGAACGTCAACGAGCCAAGGAACAAACTTTTTGAAATGACGAAAGGTATCAGTTTTACGATCGAGGTCAATCATCATTTGGCGCATCAAAGTGATGAGGGCAAGAGCACAGTGGCGATACGGAACCAGGATGAGGACGCGCGGGCGAGTGAAGCCCTGGTCGCGAACGGCATTCTCAAGGTCTGCTGCTCCGGCGTCTTCTTCATCTGGGTGAGCTGCGGCACGACGCGCCGCTCGTTCCAAGAGTGTATTGTGCTGCAGAATCATTTGGCGGGCTTGAATGACGTGGTTGAGAGCATGCGTGGCTAGAGCAATGCGCAATGCGGTCTGGTCCGCAAAAGCACGGCCCGTGTAAAGGACATCCTGATAGGTGGCCAACTGAGCCAGCAGGTCGGACGAGAGCAAAGGCAACGACTCCAACTCCAGCCAGTCGAGGGCTGCTTGGAGGTGCAGCCGGCTGGCGATGGCTGGGGGCTTGGAGGGTGGAGTGATGGCAACCCCTGCGTCGGCGTGAACCCCGGGTGTGCTCTGCACGTTTCCTAGTCGAGGATGTGCCACGGTGCGGAGATTGGCCTCGCGGTTGAATCCTTCAAGTTGATGTCGCAAGCGTTCCACTGCAACCTCGTCATGGTGATAATTGTGCTTTGACTCGTAATGCTGGCAATAGTAAAAGCCTACGTCATCTGGGCTCTGGGGTCGGGTGACTGCTGGCCCAGCAGCATCGTCGGCTTGCAGATGCTTTTCAAGCGTCGAGGCGTTGTTTTGGTCTTCCTCTTCCTCGTCCTGCTCCTCCTCTTCCTCGTCCTGGTCACCTTGGTCATCCTGATCAGTCTGCGTGAGCTCCTCCTCGTCAGCATCTTCATCAGAATCTCCTAGGTCCTCTTCGCCGTCAGCCGGCTCTTCTGCGCCTTCACCTTCAGGCACAAGCTCATAGTCTTCGCCCAACTCTGCCATGCGCGCCGCAGCCTCCTCGGCCGTCAGCTCCAGAATACCATCTGGCGCTTCCTGCTCGCCATCTGCGAGCTCATCCTCATCCAACTCGCTAGGAGCACTGTCGTCGTCCCCATGATCAAACTCGGCTGACCCGAGGCTGGGTAACATGCTCAAAAAGGCTGACATGTGTCCACCACCCAAATTATCGACGTCCTCGTCCTCGTCCTCGTCCTCGTCATCCACGTCCTCGGCAGCGGCGGTCGTATCTTCCCGATGACGGCGCTGCCGGGAAGCGCTGGGAAAAGCAAAATCGCTCAAGTCGGGCTGAACAGGCAAAGGTGCAAACAAGTAGAAGAAAATGTTAGCCAGTTGCAATTTTGAGCCGATAGATAGAACAGGGTTGCCGAGACCCAACCCTGAGCACATCGCAGCCACGATGTACAAAGGGCTACGAGACCGACGACAACCACAGCAAGACCCAAGCTGAACGCAACCAAGTGCACAGGCAGCAAGTCTAGAAAGGCGCCACACCGACACGCACCATCTGCCCTTTGGCGTTGTGCCCAACCTTGGCACGCTTAGCAGCCCGACCCTCGTGCTCGCGATAGACTGGAAGGTCCGACGTCACGTCGTTGATAGGATGCAGCTCACCAAACTCCTTGGCATGCTGTTTGTCCATGCGCGAAGCCTTCTTCTTCCCTCCCTTCCCCTTGCGCCGCGCATTATGCGTCGGCTGCACACGTTTCCGCCCACCACCACCACCACCACCCCTACCACCACCGCCACCACCACCACCACCACGTCCCCGTCCCCGTCCCCGAGCCATGGTCGTCCTTGCACTCGGCCTGAGTGAAAGAGAGAGAGAGAGAGAGAGAGGGAGAGAGAAAACTCCCAACGTGGGTGCTGACAATTCCCTCTCTCTTTGCTCTTTATCTCGTTCATAACTCTCTCTCTCTCTCTGTTTATTCTGCCTTTCTCTTTCCCTCTATTTCTCTCTCTCACTTTTCTCTCTCTCCGGATTATCGAACAACAGCTGTCGTGTACAGCTGTTTACAATCCTCTAAAGATGAGGTTTTCGCGCGAAAATTTGAAATTCTTGCGTTTTCAATTTGAGAGACGTTCGTTTTTCCAAAAAAATAATTTTCGAGTGCGCTTGGTGGCTTTGTGTTGCTGCTTTGCAATTTGATACGCGACTGCACGGGTGGGCAAGGGTGTTGAGCATTTTTTCCGGGGGTGACTTTGCCTGCTCGTCCGTTTCCTCTTTCTCTTCCCCTCTCCCTCTCTTTCTCTAGCTTCTTCTTCTTCTTCTTCCCCGCCTCCTACCCGCGTCTTGATCTTCATCCCACCCCACTTTGTGTTCGGCGCGACTCGATTGTCGCTGCCAAAGCGGGTCATCTGAAGTTCAGACGACCGCCATCATGCACGTCAAGGTCAGCTTTCTTCTTTGCTTCTCGCGTCGCCGTGTTTGCCCGCGTTCGTGCTCTTGAACTGATGCTTTCCTCCCGCACGACCGACCGCCATGCAGGAAATCATTATCGATGGCTTCAAGTCCTATGCCCACCGCACCGTGGTGCCAGATTTCGATCCGCTGTTCAATGCCATCACTGGCCTCAACGGCAGCGGCAAATCAAACATTCTCGATGCCATTTGTTTTGTCCTTGGAATTTCCAACCTCAGCCAGGTAATTGTGCTTTTCACATTTGCCTTCTCTCTCCCTCTTCTCTCTCTTCCTCTCTCTTCTTCTCTACATCATTGGGAGGAAACCTAGCCCAGCAGAGAAAGACCACCTCAAGCCCACATCAGCCAGCAGCATCACTTGTACGCTCATGTCACCTACCTCTTCGTTAGGTCCGCGCTGGCAACCTCCAAGACCTTGTGTATAAGCAAGGTCAGGCCGGTGTGAACCGCGCCTCAGTCACCATCGTCTTTGACAACAGTGACAAGGCCCAGAGCCCCGTTGGCTACGAGGCCCATGATGAGATCACCATCTGCCGCCAGGTAAGCACGCGTGTGCAGAGCGGCAGGCGCATCTTCAGCCACCATACTCACTCTCTCATTTCCGTGTAACTGTGGTTCACAGATCATCATCGGTGGCCGCAACAAGTACTTTATCAATGGGCACAACGCTCAGCCTCAGCGTGTGCAAAATCTGTTCCACTCAGTTCAGCTCAATGTCAATAACCCTCACTTCCTGATCATGCAGGGTCGCATCACCAAGGTTCTCAACATGAAGCCCCCAGAGGTGAGCCTGCTTTTGCCACATGTGGGCTGCCGTGCCTTCCCAGCGCGTGCATGCTTGCCTGACCTTCAATCGTCGATTCATGCCCTTTTTGCTTGTCGTGGTAGATCTTGTCCATGATCGAGGAAGCCGCTGGCACGCGCATGTACGAGACCAAGAAGCAGGCCGCGTACAAGACGATGGCCAAGAAGGACAAAAAGTTTGAGCACATCAACCAGCTTCTGGACGAGGAGATTACGCCTACCCTGGACAAGCTGCGCCAGGACCGCTCAGCTTACCTCGAGTACACCAAAACTCGTACTGAAGTTGAGCATCTCTCGCGCTTTGTCGTTGCCTGCGATTATCAAGCCGCTGAGCAGCGCCTGCAGTCCAGCTCACAACAGCTGGAAGAATTGGACGCCCGCATCAAAGCCTTGGAAGCAGACAAGCGTCGCAAGGAAATGGAGCGCGACAACGAGAAGCAGAATCTGGAGCTCAAGCAGAGGCAGCGAGCCAGCGAACAGCACGATGACCTCCTGCAGCGCCTAGAGGCCGAGGTGGCCGACCTCTCCAAGAAGCTCGTCAAGGCCAAGGCCGAGCTTGACACCCATCTTCAAGGACAGGAGGAAGAGCGCCGAGCCCTTGCAGACATTCACAAGGCCATCGATGAAGCCCAGGCAGCACTCGCCAGCAAGCGCAGCGAGAATGCATCCGCTGGCTCCTCGTACGAGGACATGAAGGCAACTTTTGAGCAGGCTGACGAGCGCGTGCGCGTTGCACAACGTGGGGTGGAAGCCGTCAAGATGGGCATGACCATGGTCAATGGCGAAAGCAAGAGCTTTGCCGAGGAGATGCGTGTGGCCAACGAGACTGCCACTGAGGCCCAATCGGCCCAGCAAAAGGCCACCAACGCCATCAAGCACCTTGAAGCCGAGCTCAAAGACAAGCGTCCCAAAGCCAAAGCCTCGGAGAAGGAGTACGCCAAGAACCACAAGATGGTGGCGCAACTGCAGGAGCAGGTCGCCGCCATCGAGGCCCAGCTGCAAGAGGTACAGGCCGACCCTGCTCAGCTTGACCAACTACGCTCAAAGCAGAGCCATCTCGAGACGCGCCGCCAGCAACTCAAGGATCAAGTGGCTGACCTCAGTGCCAAGTTGGCGGCCGTCAGCTTTGACTACCGTGACCCATACCCGAACTTTGACCGCAGCAAGGTCAAGGGCCTGGTGGCCGAGCTAGTGCAGGTGAAGGACCACCAAACGAGCACGGCCCTCGAAGTGGCCGCGGGCAGCAAGCTCTACCAGGTAGTCGTCGATGACGAGGTTACGGCCAAGGAGCTCCTCTCCAAGGGCCAGCTTCAGCGGCGTGTGACCATCATCCCTTTGAACAAGATTAGCCAGCGCACCGTCAAGCCAGACGTTGTGGCCGAGGCAAAGAAGCAGGTGGGCGACGCCAACGTCGACCTCGCTCTCAGCCTCGTTGGCTACCCAGCGGAAGTCGATGCAGCTATGAAGAACATCTTTGGCTCCACCCTCGTGTGCAGCAGCATTGATGCCGCAGAAAAGGTAAGCACAAGTGGACTCGATTGGCGGGCGACTGTTCCTTCGCTGCAGCCAACTTGCTCGCGTTACTGCATTCATCTTGATCTCGCGTGTAGGTGACCTTCAACAAGCGCGTCATGACTCGTTCCGTGACCCTCGAAGGCGACTCCTTTGACCCCTCGGGTGTGCTCAGTGGTGGTGCCAAGAGCTCATCTGCAGGCCTGCTCAACAAGCTCCAAAAGCTGGCACAGCTCAAGCAGGAACTGAGCGCCACCGAAGCCGAGCTGGAAGCCATCAAACGCGAGATTAAGGAGGTCAACAAGGCACTAGCTCTCTGCCAAGATCTCACGGCCCAACGTGACGGCAAGGCGAGTGAACTGGAGGTGTTGCTTGTCCGCCTTGATTCCAACGTCCACTACAAGGTTCGTGCTGCCCCTTTCAAAAGCGTTTTCTTTGTGATGATACAGCAGTCGTGTGCTCAAGGGGCGTGAAAATAGTAAAGAAATGGGTTTATCATGTCAACAGTCAACATCCCCCCAAGCTGGGCAAGGCTGCCTGGGACCCACCAGAAAGCACAGACCCCTGTTGTTCAGCCTTTGTCGATCCTCATTGTCATTCTTGATGCACTTGCCAGGCTGTTTCCGAGGTGCAAGCTTTGGAGGAGCAACTGATCCAGGCCGGCGAACAGCAAAAGGAGGCCAAGGCCGCCGAGGCGGCTGCAAAGGCCCGTGTCAAGGCCTTGCAAAAGGAAGAGTCTGAGTTTGCCTCGCAACGCGACGCCAAACTCAAGGCGGCTGACAAGGAACTCAAGGCAGCCCGCAAGGCCCGTGATAGTTTGCAGGCAGACATGGACCGCGCACAGTCAGCCCACGATGAGGGTGTACTTGAAGTAGAAAGCCTGGAGGCTGAGTTGGCCTCTTTGCAGCAGCAAGTCAAGGCGCAGGAAGAGACCATCGCGGCCATGGGCCCTGTGCAGGAGACGTTGACGGCTGAAGTTGAGCGTCGTCAAGAAGCCTTCCGCAAGCGTGATGCTGAGTAAGTCTGTTTTCTCCTACATTATATTGGTGCCATGCAAGGCTCATGTAAGCCACACCCGCGTCAGGGGCTTGACTGTAAAGCGTCTTCTCACATTGCCCCTGCTCTTTCGGATGTTATAACTAGCCTCATGCACCGCAAGGAGCGCTTGATGGAGATTGATTCCGAGATCACTTCACTCAAGGCACTCGTGCGCGAGCTGTCCGAGGCGATTGACGAGGCCACAATCGAGGCCAAGAAGAGCAAGCACACGCAACAGACGCTGCAAACTGAGAAGGCCACTTCCCTGAACACGGTGCGCCGCCTGCTTCAGGAGAACGCATGGATCGAGTCCGAGCAGGCACACTTTGGCAAGCCCGGCACTGCATTTGAGATCAAGAAGGGAGATGCCAGTCGTGATCCTGCGCTCTGCCGTGACCGTCTGCGAGCCCTTTTGGCAAACCAGGTGCGTTTGAAAGCGAGACAGAATGAAAGCACAGTCGCTCAACTGAATTTTTGTCAGGAGAGAAGACCTCGCATGTGTGGACTCAGTTTATCCACGTGCTGCTTTGTAGACCAAGCTCGAGAAGACTGTGAACATGAAGGTGTTGAGCATGTTTGAAAAGGCCGAGGCCAAGTACAACGACCTTCTGAAGAAGAAGGCCATTGTGGAGCAAGACAAAGAAAAGGTCAGTCGCTGTGCCAGGTTTACAAGATAGGGATCCTTTCGCCTCGGGTGCCTTGTCGTTGAAACAAGACGGCTGTGGCTGTGAAGAAGCAGCTCATGACGCTGGGTGATATGTATAGATTGAGGCTGTCATTAAGGAGCTGGATGAAAAGAAGAACGAGGCGCTGCTCAAGGCGTATGCACAGGTCAACCGCGACTTTGGCTCCATCTTCTCGACCCTCTTGCCGGGCACCAAGGCCAAGTTGGAACCAGTTGAGGGCACCAGCGTTTTGGACGGTCTGGAAGTCAAGGTATGTGTTCTTCAAGCCTCAAGGGACCAGTGCGGGATACTATTCTCAGATCCCGACGATGTACCTTTGGTCTGCTCACCTGGTCATGATTTGTTAGATTGCCTTTGGCGATGTGTGGAAGGAGTCCTTGACGGAGCTCAGCGGTGGCCAGCGTTCCCTGGTTGCATTGTCGCTGATTCTGTCGCTCTTGCTGTTCAAGCCAGCACCTTTGTACATTTTGGACGAGGTGGATGCGGCCTTGGATTTGAGTCATACGCAAAACATTGGCCAGATGCTGCGCACGCACTTCAACAAGTCGCAGTTTATTGTCGTGTCTCTCAAGGACGGCATGTTCAACAATGCCAACGTCTTGTTCAAGACCAAGTTTGTGGACGGTGTTTCCACGGTGCGCCGCTATGCACAGGGTCCCGCCAGCCTGCAAGAGCCTGTTGATAAGGAAAACAGCTCGCAAGGCGCCCGCGCTCGTGGCAAGAAGGCGGCGCGGACGCAAGGCCGTAGCGCCGGTTTGACCGCCAGTAACTGAGTGTTGCCGTGGGCCGTTGTCGTGATGGCGCAGGCGTCCTGGTCCTTCCTGTGTATTTGGTTCGTCTCTTCTCTTTTTCTTTCCTTTTTAACCGGCTCATGTCAGAAGTCATGCGGGGGTCGCACAGCAAGATATGGCGGTCTCGCTTTTTGTATAGATGTGTAGAAAGTTTTATTTTTGATTTCATGTGGCTGGGTCCGATGACTCTGTATCTGGCTTGGCAGACGTGTGTGCAATAAACCAATTGGAACCTTGCTGAAACTTCTTCAACGATCGGGCTTGCTCCAAACAAAGATTTGACAAAGCAGAGGGCAAGCGAGGATCAAGACGTGGTGGGTCGAGATCCACTTTAAACTGCCTTTGTGTGTCGGCCCGTGGCCACGAGTTGGCCTGCAACAAAAGCATCAAAGCGGCACACATGAGGCAGGCAAAGCTCTGGTCTGGCTCGAGGTTGGCTCGCTTCAGTTCGGGCACTGACCAGTTTTGGGATTGATGATATCAACCTGCGTATAGCCCAGTTTGCGGCCTAGGCGCAATACACTGGTTTCAAAAATAGAGAGAGATCGATGCGTGCGTGTGGTGAGCTGACAGGCGAGGAACCCTTGACAAGCCGTGTCGGCAGGATATTGCATTGATGGGAAGGGGTACGTCTAGAGTGTTCTGGGGAGTGCAACTGACCGGCCTTCGGCAATGAGCTGCTCGCCTTCGCGAGCGGCGCTAATAAAGCTGGTATTGACTTCGACGGAAACTCCCGCTTTGTTGACGTCGCGAGAGAGGAGCGCAAGCGTGCCGACAATGTCGATGATGGTCATGGTGGCCCCGCCGTGGAGCATACCATAGCTGTTGAGAAGGCCCTTGGTAACGGTGACGGTGACGCAAACCTTGTCCTGACCGAGATGGCTGATTTCTAGGGCTTTGGTAAAGATCGAATCGAAGCCGCCCTTGGAGATAAACGCTAATGCAGCAGAAGCGAGAGTAGGAGCAAGGTCAGTGAGAACGGTGCGCTTTCGGATGTGACTGATGACAAGCACAGGCGGGACTGAAAGCCAGCACCCCTTGCGTTCAACTCACCGCCAAGGAGGGCATTAGCGCCCTTCAGCATGGCCTTTTCGATAAAGCTCAGCTGCTTGGGCGTGGAGCTAGTCCCGCTGTCACCGTCGGTGCTGCTGGTGCCATCTTGGCTTGAACCCGAGGCTTGCCGAACACAGAGCTTTGATACCGCACTGCCCCAAGACCGCAACACTGGCGTTTGGCCCGCTGAAAACGCCCTCCACATCTGACGCCCGGCACTCAAGTGCACAGCCGCGCTCTGGCCCACCCTGGGCAGCCGGCCACCGCTCGTGGCCTGCACGACCCGTGCCGCACTCCTCCAGACCAGCATCATGCTCGATCAACGCAACTCGCAACAGCAACAAGTTTATGTGCTGCGTTTGTTAAGCTTGTTGACATTAATAAAACGTCGAAAAGGCAATATTCTTCTACAACAATTCATCCCGTCCTCTTCAAACCACAACAACAACAGTTCGATTTGTCTGACAACTGTATTTTATTGTCTGACAACTGTCTGACAATTGGTCTTGTCGAGCGACGCTGACATGTGCAAGCGAGCATGCATTTGGTATGTAGACCGAGTCAAGTAGTTTGTGTTGTTGTCGGGACGACGCAGGTGGTGCCCGGTCGGGGACCTGTGCGACCGCGGGGGCGGAATGAAGGAGACGCGAGAAGATGGGCAAGATTGGGTTGGGGTGAAGGCACTGGCATAAAAAAGAAAAATCTGCCGTTTGTTCTTTTCTGCATGAACTAACGGCTTGCCACACGAATGTGATGCACAATCTTTTCTGGTTTGTTCTGCACCCCCCCATACGCTGGTCCAGCTGCGCGAAAGCGCATCCACCGCTTTGGGGGTAATGGAATGCATCCAGCAACTCCAGAGTTTGCAGCGTGGCTGGGATGCTGCTGCGGCTGGCTGCCAGTGAGATCGCATGTGATCATGCCTGGCCTTGCACATGAAAATTCCATCCGAATTGGCCACTCGGCGCGTGTTTCTGCCAACACCGTATACCTTTTCGACCTAAACAAGTGCATCCAACAGGCTGTCCTCTCGGACCGAGATCAAGTTTTCCGGCTTCAGCCTCACGGACACCTACCCACCACCGTCATTTTTCTCTCTGCTCCCCTGCCAGCTTACTGACTGGTGTGTTTGGCCCCGAGCGCTCCGCCTCCTGTCTACCGCTGCCCTAGCTGCTAGCCGCTTCGACGCACGCATTCAGCAAGCCACTCTCTCGCCGCATTTTGGTACCATGACCACTGTTGACGCTGCCCAGCGGCCACGGCCGGCACATCAAGACCAGGCCACCCCCGTCGCCTCGCGCGTCATTTTGCCGCGTGACTCGACACCCGTGAGCGGTGGCGCCTACCCCTTTGCCTCTCAGCGTGCCGCGTCCAGTAGCAGCATTCAGCTCTCAGAAGCAGAAATGCGCACTGCCAAAGTTCATCTCTGCAACCGGCGTGCCGCCCTGGCGGTGGTTCGCCTTCACGAAGACTGGGAGGATCGGGGACGCCACCCAGGCATACAGCGCAGTCGCCATAAGCTCAGCACTCTTCGCCTGGCGCGCTTGGAGCGCTTGGCTCAAGCCTGTGCCTCCAACGTGGCGCGCTTGCGTCCGCTCTTGGAGACTTCACAAGCTGCTGATGAAAACGACAACGATCTCATCGACGCGGTGTTCTCCGACGCCGATGCAGAGTCGGACGGCGAGGCTCATGAGCAGTCCTCGGCGTCTCAGCCATCTACCTCGACCTCGAGCTGCAGCTCTCGATCAGGCACACACTCGAGGGCCTCTGCTCGCTCATCATGTGGCTGCTTTTCTTCAGCATCGTCCGCTGGCACCGCGCCATCGAACTCAGAGGTGGCAGCCATTCTGGGCGGACTAGATCAATACCTCACGCAGTTGACTGATCTGGTCCAGCTGATGAGCACTGACCAGAAACACTGGCGTCGAGACGATGCAAGTCAGGAAGCGGCTGCGGGTCCCTCCCGTGACGCCCTGCCATGCCCCAATCCTGACTGCTTCTCTCTGGTATGACTCATGGCATCCCATTTGAGAGCTGCTGCTCGCACGCTGGCCCGTTTCCTCACCGTGTGTGATTGAATGCTGTAATGTAGGGCTTGAAGACAAGCTTGTCCTGTGGCCATGCCCTCTGCTACGAATGTGTCCGGTGCGTTTGCGAAGCCAGCGCCATCCGTTTCGTTTTATCGAGGCACCATTATTCACCTCGCTCATGGTGTTGGGAATCGTGCAGCAAGCAACACGGCTGTTTTGTTTGTGCAGCCCATCGAGTGTCCGGCTCTACCGGCTCCAGTACGTGCATTCATTGTGCCGCGCGGCCGGTGCCCACCTTGCACGCCGATGTGATGTCTGCATCTTTCTAAGATGGATCTGAGTCATTAAACTTCCACGTTTGTTTGTTTTTTTCGTGTCCTCTCAGGCTTGGCCACCATGCAGATGAGCAAACAGCAGGCTGACCCTGTACGCGTGCTGCAGAAACGTTGGCATGGCAACCTCAAGCGCCAGGTGTCTAACGCGCAGTGCGTCTTGGCTGAGCAGGCCTTGGTTGAAAAGGTGGTTGTGGTGTGATTGTACTTTTGTCAGTCTTGATCTTGGTTCTGGACGGGTGAGGCCCTTGAAAAATCACCACCACAGTTTTTTTCCTTCCGCTTCGTTGGCGCGTGTAACTCGCCGCCCTCTAAAAGCCCGGTCTGGTCAGCAGAACCTTAGAAGTAGCACTTGTATCTCTTGTTGTTTATACCACGTGAGCGTTGTCTGTGATGTGCGCACTGCCGGTATAGGTGAATTATAAGCTTGCAAGCTGGCTGTTTGGTCGTTTCTCCTTTCTGGGCCTCAAGTCCCGCATCTGGCACAGCGCTCATTCCTTGATCGGGAGAAGCAAGTGTTGTATGGCACAACGCCGTAGGCGTATGAAGCAAGGGTGATGACAGCATTGACGGCTTGAAGTGAAGTTGAATTTGCAGCCGGGATCTGCAGCTGCTTGGCGTTGAAGAATCTTTAATGTTGGCACGACCTTTTCCTTCCCCATACGAACATCAACATACTTGACAAATCATCACGATAGACATGCATTGTGATTACGAGGGGTGGGGGGACAGCTTGTGCGTATAGGACTTTAATTGCAAGAATGACAAGTCAGTGGCCAGAAGCCAGCACAGAGAGCGAGGACGGACCAGCCGGGAACACAGACACGAAATAATAGCACACCGCGTGCGTTCAAAGGATAAAAATTTAATTTTTTTTACATGTCAACGGAAAATGCGCAAAAATAGGCTAAAAATATGCTGATATTCGCTTAAAAGAAATTGTACGAAAAGAGGACGTTTATCGACAGGGACACGGGGGCGCGGACCGAACTGGACCCACTGCTTATGACTGAGAAGGATACAACGCGCGCTGTGGCACGTGATTGCTCAAGTGGAGGGACAGGGTAGTAGTATCGCGCCATGCCTTAGTGTGTCTCCTTTGTCACGGCCCTTATTATTTCCCAGAAGCACAAGAGGCATGTCTCTCAAAGCGAAAAGGCATTGAAGAAATGACCATCAAGTGGTGGACAGCCAGGTGCCAATAAGGGACAGGGGCCAACACATGCAGCAGGCACAGGCCAAGATGGCGACAAAAAAAGATTGAAGAAAGAAAAAAAAAAAAAAAAAGAAAGGAAGAAGAAAGGACTCGAGGAAGCAGGAGCAGAAGAAGGCAAAACGAAATGAAAGCACGAGAGGCACAACAACAACAACGACAAATACACCTACAACGCAGGGACCAAAGGGTGAGAAGTACACGAAGACGCAAATGTTTTGTGTGCTTTTTGTGTTTGGGACAAAGGTTGAAGGCAGCCTATGGGAAAGGAAGACCTAAGAAGAACAAGCGCGAAGCGCAAGCGCAACACGCACACGGCACCAATGAACGATGGGCTGAGAGCGCCAACGTATGGGCGGCTCAGAGCACACTGGGGAAGGGCCGAGCTGCACAAGACACGGGAAAGAGACACCAATTCAAACAAACAGGACAAGTTGGGGTGGAGCCAACTTGGAGGAAGAGGGAAGGGGCACGAGATGCTCCACAGATAGCAGGACGAGGCGAGGTGGTCAAGCCCACAGAGAGGAGAAGGGCATGATCAGCTAGTTTCGCCATCCAGTGAAATGATCTCAGCCGCAAGTCGGGGACGCGGAAGACATTGAGCGAGAGAGAAAAAAAAGGATAAGAGAATTAAGAGCAAAGCCTTCCGCGTCGGAACACTAGAGGCCAGCGTCGGCCCAGCTCTGGAGACATTGAATGTCTTCGGGTCGCAACTGGGCGGGTTCACGCCAGCATCGAAGGGCAAGTTGTTGGGCTTGTCGAAGCTGGTTGAGAAGTTCAGTGTTATGCTGAACGAGGTGGTCCTTTTGGATCTCAATCTCCTGATAGCGTTCACGAGCCTTTTCACGAGAGCGCTTGACGGAGCGATTGTTGGAGTCTCGGCTTTGGCGCCACTTGATCCAAGCGAGGTTGTACTCGTCGTCGGTGGCAAACTCTTCGCGCTTGGGTTCCTTACGGCGGCGGCGGCTGTCCGAGGAGTTGCGGCGTGAGCGAGAGCCATGGGTGGGCGAACTGGCACCACTGCTGGCTGTCGAGTAGTTGCGCGGGGTGCCGGATACAGAAGCGGGGGCGGAGGTGCGAGGTCGAAACGGGGCGGCCGCGACGTTGTTCAGGCTTTGAATGACGGCCTCAATGTCCAGGGATTGCAAAAGCTGGCTCGGTGACGGGGGGTTGTCGTGGTGGCTCTCCGGTGGTTCGGGGGCGGCGAAGGTGGGGTCGGGCATGGTTCCTAGCATGTCGGCTGGCGGGATATCACCCGAGTTGAGACCAGCTGCTGGGCCAAAGACACCCAGGCGACTGGGGTCGTAATCCAAGGGAGCTGGAAGCAGATCCTGGTGTTCAGCACCGTAATCCATGTTGACCGGTGGGCTTTGCAGCTTGCGTGCGTGCGTGCGAGTGTGCGTGTGTATGGGCGAGGATGACCTTGCGGCTGGCCAGCTGCTTCCTGACACGTCTAGGTTGGCAAACAGCGAGACACACCGGTCAGTCGTCAAGGGAACATCCAGAAGAAAAACAGCTCAAGGGGGGTGCTTGCGACTGGGATGTGGGAGGAGCCTGGTCGAGTGTGCGGCTGGGTTTGCTCGAACATGTATGTGTGTACTTTGTGATGCGTGTAGACGCGGGGGAGAGGGGGCCGAGGGGAGTGCCAATCACCATGCAAGCGGCTA